ATCTGTAGTGCCATGGGGATGATATTCATTTATAATTAGAGCACTGCTATATGACATGAAAAAAATAGTAACGAAAAGATCACGAAGAGATATAATGGGAGGGGAAGTAGTTTCTTTCGACTTTCGGGTTATTTATTGTCTATTCGTGTCTTTTTCTTTAAAAAAGGATTCGTGTTACACCGTTTGACACTTGTAATTATTATTTGATCTAAGCATAGAGCTGCTAATCTTTGCGAACAGAAGGCAAAGGAATGTACAGATAAGGAATGACCTTTTAGAAATCTGAGTAGCTGTGAAAATCTGAATGCTAGATGTAGCTTGAAGGTAAATTGGGATGAGGTGGTTAAGTTTTCCCTACTGAGATAAAGGTAAATTACATGGGATTATTATGCTATAATTACACTTTAACGTTTTTTCAATTGAGTATATAAATTTTAATTTTTTTTCAGTATATTGATTTTTTTAAAATGGTAAATTAAGTATTTTTCGTTCAATGTTTATTAATTATTATATTATTTGACAATGGATCTTTTTCCCTATATTATTAAATTATGATTTTGCTAGTCTATTCTAATTTTTTTTTCAAATTGTTTTGTCATTTTCTACTTTTTGTGTAGTAATCCAAATTATCATCATATGGAGAAAGTAGGAGACAATAATGTGAGAAATTTTGTTTTTTTTTTAATGATAGCAATTGACATAAATTGGATAAAAAAAATATTTGATTAGCAACTTCAAGAATTCAACGTGTTCAAATTAAAAAAAAAATCATATACTTAATTAAAAAAATGGTAAAAATTGGTGTATTTGTAATATAATTATCCTTAAATTAAGCAAAAACTAAGCAGTCGGTAATGCGGTGCATTGCCATTCTCTAATGTGGTGGGAGCAGCAGCGAGGATTGTGTTGCCGTTTGCGAGGGGTTCTGCAAACTGTCAAAAAGCACCTGTAAGAGTGTATAGAGAAGTATTTTGTTTTGACTTTTTGGTATTTCTGGAAATGATATATATACACACACACTAGCAAAAATAAAATGTTCCTACTTCTCCCGGATTATATCGTATCTATACTTGTTTTTTCCTCGATTAAATTCTTCTATATCAACAATAACAATGTCATTGAGATTACTCCCAGTAAAATCCAAAAATCATTCAAATTCTTTGGGAAGATATATTTGCATTTTTTGGAGGCTTGTTAAGTAGATAGTTTTTTTCACGCTGTTTGTTTGGATAAAAAATATCTTTACATTAAAACCCGAAAAAAAGGATCAACCTATGAAGAAGAGTGACACATGCTTTATTATAGGTGGTTAAGGGGAAAAAAAAAATTACAAGTATAGTTATACACCTTTACTCGGACGTTTTGGGAGAAAGAGGTTAGCATAAAGAATTTACAAGGATTGGTGTTATACACTTTTTTCCTCATCAATTCTTTCCACAGCAGCAACAATAAATGAAGGAGCCAAGTGAGTTTATCTTTGATAATATTATTTATTGTTCAAATAATAGAGAAGTTTACAAGAAAAATATTTTTTCATGAACACATAAATCTGAATATAAATGATTTATTTAATATTCAATTGAGAAAGAATGCATAGAAGTTGTATTTGTTAGGAGGAATTAAATTTTATGGTTTTCACTCTGAGTATGATTAGTTTTATTTTCAATATGAAATAGAAATACTTAATAAAACCAAAAAATAAAAAAATAAATACTTTTAATTGTTTATTATTAATAAACATCACTTGGTCCAGAGGCACCAAACCTATAATTCACCTAATAACAAATGAATGGATGAATGAGAAGTTTCTAATGGAAAGCCGGCTAGCTTAAGCAATCTCATGAAAAGGTTGACCGTTAGAGGAAAAAGAAAACGATAAAAACCATAGAAAAATATTAAAAAGCCTATTCAAATGACCTTCACTTAATATCCATCTATGATGAATATTTGACTGGCTTGATCCATTGGCACCGTCAAATCGTTTCCACCAATTGACGTTTCCACCAATGTAACACAAGGAAAACCCTAGCTAGACTAGTTTTGCCGCTTCCTTGTAAGTTTAATGTTTGGGCCCCTCATTTGTCTTCTGCGTCCTTAAATTAATTATTGTAAGAATCTTATGATGCAAAATTTAACCAAGAATTATTATTCCCGGAAATTCTGTATTTGGAAATAAAGTTCCTTTTCCAAGAAAACAAACAATATTAATATCTTTTTGCCTTTTGTTTGAGTAATTAAGGAAAGAAATTAGAAAAACAAATAATAACAGAGAAAAAAGAGGAAAAAGTGAGTTTAAGTTAAAGTATTCATCAACCTAATAACAGATACACACTCGCTGACCTTTAAAATCAGGTCAATGGTGACTATAAAATTATTCAATGACGACAGCATGACATTCAATTTGAATTTTTTTTTCCCATGAAAATATAAACAGAAAGAAATTATAAGCACATTATCAGTGACAGAGGCTTGCAGAGGTTTTGAAAGTTGAGAATATAATTAATTAAGTGTGATCCTAGTAATTAAATTAAGGAAATGGTATCTCATACCGCGTGTAAGTAAATATTAGAAATACACAGTACTGCATAAAGTTCTTCGTGGAAACTACTCTAAATAGACATGCAGAAACAGCTAGCTAGCTAACTAGGACATAAATTCAACACAATACCCCAATTCCTTTCACCGTCCAGCCGAACTTGTTGCCTAAAAAACAAAAGCAACAAATCAACTCTCCTTCCTTCTTGAGCTACCTTGTTTCATAGGCAAGCAACAGCAGATTCAGCAGCCTCGACCTCGAGACCTCGTCAACCAATTAATTTCATCGTACAAAAAGGTATTCAGTTTGTCATGGTGTCTTTTCTTGATTTTTTTTTCTTAATGAATTGTCTGTTCTTGATTGGTCTTCCTTTTGTCTTTTAAAAAATAACGTGCTAGCTAGCCAGAAGATTAATTCTTTACATCTTCATTCTTCTCTCGCCGTTTCTCTTTCTGGTTCTTCGTTCTTGAGATATCAATATAATCATTACATGTCTTTTATTTAGTGTTTATATATATTCGTATATAGTTCTTTCTTTTCTGATAATAGCGTTTATAGCGTTTGATTTCAGCTCATAAAGATCGTAAACCTATACTAGTCAATTAATTTCCAAAAAAAACTCTGTTTTGTTAGTTAAACTATGTTTTTACAGATTGCGGTGATAATTTTAGGTTAGGGTACTAATTGATCTATTGTGTTTATCTCTATTATCGAGTAATCAATAAAATAATTAGAGACGGTCAATGATTTGAAAAATAGCAAGTAATTTATGAGATATTGGAATATATATTACTTGGATAAATAATAGTTTGATCACATTAAAAATCTTAAAACTAGTACGCATAACTATAGGCTTGAAGGTTGTGGGAAATATTAAAAGCTAAAAACCACAAAACTATTAAAATTAAAACGACAGCCCCCTCCAAAAATAAACAAAAACAATTCATCGTTGGTTATTAATTATATTTCAGACACATTCTTTTCCTAAAATATTTTTCTTTATCCCATAGAAAGTCCAAAACTCAATAGTATATGGATAATGAAGTCATTTTCCGACCTTATTCTTTGTTTCAAGTCACATTTCGTGGATCGATTTGAAAGGTATGGAAGAAATGTACCATGTATTAATAATATAATACCGGATATTTATTTACTTTTTTTGTAATCATGCATGCAATCGTTTTCCAGCTTTTTTTTTTTTTTTTTATCCCCTAAACAAGTGGTTCATTAATTAAGAAGCTGGATGAGCAATGAGTTATCTTTTTCAAGTTTCTTTATTTCTTGCTTGTCATAATATCAAATAACTTTATGGTAATTAAGTTTTTTCTTTCTTTCTTTCGATGGACGAAGGATAAAACGCACTCACATAAGTTAATTTCGACTTAGATAACCTTCTATGCCGTGATGAAACTAATAGTGGACCGCAAGTAGTGACTGTTTGAAGGTGAATAAATTAAGTTGAATTGTCTTAGAAGCAAAAATGGTAGATTTTCAATTTTGTCCATTTTCGTGTAACATTATTCCACCTATCCTTCAACTCTTTTAAACTGAAGGTCTCTATGCCACTTCACTCCACTGTACCCAACAAACTAATCAACATTTTCCAATGTAATCAACAAACTTATCGAATCATTGACTTAATTTCATTGTTTTTTTTTTTAGCTATTTTAGGCCTGTTATTGGCGATTTTTAAATTAGCTAATCAATCTTATTTTCATTAACATCTCTGAATTTTTTTTTCATTGGTAATCGATTCCGTGTTAATAAAATATATTGTTGATAAATGAATATAAAAAATAGAACTTAGTCTATATATTTAATTAGCAGACTTAGAATATACAACATTTTCCAATGTTCTATACAGATTTGCTTTTTTATGTACAGAACGAAGGATGATAAATTCTGAGGCTGAGGTTTCAAAACATGTTAATATAAAATAGGTGAACTTTGTCAAAAAAAAAAAAAAAAAAACGAATCAAATTATGTCATTATTCGAATAAGATAGAGGGCAATTGGTAATTTCACTTAAAACCTCCTAGCCCACCCGCAAGTTCCAGCTAGCCTTTCGGTTTAGCCATAGCATCTCCGTGACCCAGCTCTGCCGGTCAAGCACTTCAGGAAAAAAAAAAAAAAAAAAAACAACTCTCTTGTTCAATAAATAAAATAAAAAATAAAAACCAAAATTATTAATTGGTAATAAACCAGAAAGGAAGAAGGAAACGAAAATATTACTACTACAAAGCAAATAACAACTCCGCTAGAAGGGAAAAGAAAATCAAATTTCTCTCCTTGTTTTTGCTCTCAGATCTGAATTTTCTCTTCTTTTGGTCTAATGTTTAGATTTGAACAGGAAAAGATGAGGAAACGGATTTCATTTTCATTTTGATTTCGATTTCCTCTTTCAGGGAATTGAAATTTCTCCATTTCTTGTTTTAGTTTTTGGTTTTTGGTGTTTCGCGAGGAGATGGCCGACGCTGTGATTCCTGCCGCCGTGCTGCGTAATCTTTCCGACAAGCTCTATGAGAAGCGAAAGAATGCGGCTCTCGAGGTCTCTCTCTCGCTCCCTTTCCAATTTGTGTTTGTCGAATACGATTTTGTATTTATAGGGTTTTTGATTTTCTATCTATGCAGGTTGAGGGAATAGTGAAGTCGCTGACGGCCGCCGGGGATCACGAGAAGATATCGGCGGTCATCAATGTGTTGACCAACGAATTCACCTACTCACCCCAAGCCAACCACCGCAAGGTTCGCCTTTTTCTTAAAAAAAAAAAAAAAAAAAAAAAAAAGGAAATGTGAATTATTATTTTTTTACTTTAGTGTTTTGATTTAATTTTGCATCATAGTTCGATTTTTATTTTTAGTATAATTCCATAATAATAATAATTATTATTATATTTTATTTTGCAGGGAGGATTGATAGGACTAGCAGCTGCAACGGTAGGGTTGACTACAGAAGCAGCCCAACATCTCGAGGTTAGTGATCTGAAACTCCTCTATGTTACTTGTTTGAACCTTTTCTGGGTTTGGGCTCTAGTTTTGGTGTTTGTTTTTGTCGATAGCTAGACAGCAAGGCTTTTAAATTTTACAGCATAATTTTGTAGAAACTTTCCAATTTTGAGTTTGTCACAAACTGTGTGTGGAATCTTAGTCGCTCCAGTTGGGATTATGTGCCGTTCAGTAAGGGTTAAATGGTTGACTCATTGAACATAGTTGATGGAAGTACGACATGCAGTATCGGATGACGTTTGGCTTTTGTACGAATTTATAATTTCATCATGTCTTTTTTTTTCTGGAACAGATTCTGTATTATGTTTTTACTTCATTCTAGAATCTTAAAATAAAGAATGCACTAATCAGAAGTAATTTGATGTTGAAATATATAAGTGATCACAGAATTCATTCCAGATAAAAAAATTATTGGTTTAAGTATGGTTAATTTCACAGAAGAATAAAAAAAGGGAGGATTAATGGGAAAAGGAAGAAAGATGTTTCCTGATAAATAGACTGCATTATTATAGAGTGATAAATGTTACTGGATTACCATGAAAAGTGTGAACCATAAATGTTAGAATAATGGATATAAAGTAAAATCATGCAAGAATTATTAAAATAACGCTCAAAAGTTTATTCTTAGAAAATAGATAGTACTAGGTCTACTTCAAAGCCTGGTATGCAAGAAGACAAACAAACTCCGCCTCCTTTTTATACTGTTCCCAGTAAAGAACGTTAATGGTTTATGATGTTGCTGTGGCTAAGAAGACATTTTCCAGTGCAGATGCTTTGGGCAATGACTCTGGACTTGCATAGGCTGCAAATTAAATGCAGTCTAATATGAAAGTGCAGTATCCCCAAGCAAATACTTTATTTAAGATTTGTTGTGAGTGCTTATGCTTAGAAGCATATTTACATTTGAAAAGACCTTTAAATTAGAATTGTGGCTAGTAAGTAGTACAATATATAGACACACACTCAATCAACATGCATGTATCTTGTGCAAAAAAACAAAAAAAGCTGTCCAGAAAGTTGATTAATGACTCGCAGCAAACCCCAATCCTCCACACCCCCTCCCCCTCCCCCTGATTTAATGGATCTGGAAAGACAAGTTGCCATGCAAGGTTCAGGCTTTCCTTTGAATAATGATACCAGATGACTCAATTTGATTAACAATTATGATTTGTTGTATGATAGGGAGCCACAGCGGTCATCTCACCATATATTTGTACCATCCATTAATTAGTGAGGACATATAACCCCATCCTTTTGCATGTTGCCTAGTGGTTTGTGATATCTAGAACAAAACGTCTGTGATTTTGTGTCAACATGGGTGATCTGAGTGCAATAAAGAACTTGTTATTGTTGTATTTGGGAGGATTAATGAGAGGGGATATTGAAGATACTGGGAAGTGCTTTCTGGAGTTTATGGAGCATGGGGTTTATAATTTTTTTTCATGATCTTTGTCCGGCGAGGCAAATATTATGAGACAGAATAGTGCATCAGTCATTTCCAGAATAAGAAAAAAGTCTATCATTATGCTGTATTGTTTAAGAACCAACTTTATGTGACTTAGAGTGGTTTGATGGAGGGCATACCAGCCTGCTATATTTTGTTGTAACTTTATTCAGCTGAAAGCATTATGAGACATTTTATTTTTTCAATGCTTAGTCTATTTTCTCTGTTTTATCGTTTGTATAATTTTGAATTGACTATTGCTTTGGATGTATGTTGCCAGCAAATTGTGCCACCCGTACTTAGTTCATTTGCTGACCAAGATAGCAGAGTTCGTTATTATGCTTGTGAAGCTCTATATAATATTGCCAAGGTGAGAATCGAAATGGCCGATTGCTGGGTTTAAGTTTCATGTCTTTTCTGGTTTGTTTGGGGTCTAACATGCTGTTTTCTACTGACGTGCAGGTGGTTAGAGGAGATTTTATTATTTTCTTTAATCAAATTTTTGATGCCTTATGTAAACTTTCGGCAGACTCAGATGCCAATGTACAGAGTGCTGCTCATCTTTTGGATCGGCTTGTAAAGGTAAATAATAGCTCCTAGCCTCTATTTATTCATTGATTTTTTATAACTGATGTGTGGTAAGGTTGGGATCCTCGTAAAATTTCAATTCTCATATTTTTCTATGATGAAGCAGGACATCGTTACTGAAAGTGATCAATTCAGGTAAGTTACATTTGGATATGCACGTCAAGCATTAGCAGAAGTCTTTATAGACTGCTCTGATTATGTAAAAGTCCTATATTTTTATGGTTTTTTTTTCCCTTTGTTAGCATTGAAGAGTTTATACCATTGTTGAGAGAGCGCATGAATGTCCTAAATCCCTACGTCCGTCAGTTTTTGGTGGGATGGATTACTGTATTGGACAGTGTTCCAGATATAGATATGCTCGGTTTTCTTCCTGATTTTCTAGATGGTAATCCATATTCATTGTTTAAAATCTGACATTGTTTGAAATCTAACATGCTCCTTTGATGTGGACTTGCATGTCTTCTTAGTTCATAACTCATCAACGGTTGATAAATCTCAGGTTTGTTCAATATGTTGAGCGATTCTAGCCATGAAATACGACAACAAGCTGATTCTGCCCTTTCAGAGTTTCTTCAAGAGATTAAGAATTCACCAGTAAGATTTCTGCTACATTTTGTTCTCATCTATTGTAGTTTCTAATTCCAGGTCACTTGCCTTAGAAAAGCATCGTTCCAGTAACAAATACAAATGCATTTATGTGGATTTCTTTATTTTTTGTGTTTGATATATTATGGTTGACATCAAGTGTTTTGATATAAAAACAAAATCTTTTGTTCATTTGTAATTTTCTGACTCGGACAGTGCTACTGTTGAAGTCTGTAGATTATGGTCGCATGGCTGAAATACTGGTTAAGAGGGCAGCTTCTCCAGATGAGTTTACTCGGTTAACAGCTATCACATGGGTAAGCAGATTCACATTTTGAATTTACATATTTATATGTGTAGCTGTGTGTATATACATGTTTATATTTCTACAAGTGTACCCTGTAATTTGTCTCAGTTACAATATCTTCTTAGGTGTATCTTTGTAGTTTTTGACAAATTATTGCTTCATGGGAATTATATAATCGTTTTCCTGTATTAACTGTGCAGATAAATGAGTTTGTGAAACTTGGTGGTGACCAACTTGTTCCTTATTATGCTGATATTCTGGGAGCCATTCTTCCGGGCATATCTGACAAAGAAGAGAAAATTAGAGTGGTAAGCTGGTTTAAACTCTCTGAAAGAAGAAAAATCTTTGCTAAGCATATTATGCTGAGACTACTTTTGGTTTTAAGGTTGCTCGTGAAACCAATGAAGAGCTTCGTACAATCAAGGCTGATCCTGCTGAAGGATTTGATGTTGGAGCAATTCTCTCCATTGCAAGGAGGTATAGCTTTGGAACCTGCCAAAAAATATATATATATATAGATATCAATTTTAAAAAGGCTAGCAATTTGCTCTTTAGTAGTGCATCTAATGAAGAGCTGCAATTAAAGTTCTGACAACCTCACAACTTAGTGATGGTGTTCTCTCTGAAATGAAGACCATTTAAAATAATTTGTGGTGACTGTTGATTCTTTTTATTGTTCAGGCAATTATCAAGTGAGTGGGAGGCTACTCGAATTGAAGCATTGCACTGGATATCAACCCTTTTGAACAGACATCGCGCTGAGGTGATCTGACATTATTGATAGGTCTTAGACATGTCTGGTTAATATGTTCTCTGAACTGCAATTGTAAATTTAGTTTCTTGTATGTTTGTAAAGCTCCTCCAACTCTGAATTAGTTCTAGTCTTTCGTTACTTTGTCTCCAAGCGTGTCAACCCATTTGTGGGCAACTTCTGGTATTCTTTTTCCATAGGGTTTGAGACAGTATCTATGGGAATTCTATTCAGTTGGTATATATTTCCAAATAAGTACGATATTTAATATAGTACTAGAGGGGGTAAGAATGGTAGGTTTTTTTTATGATAGGCTCTGTCCTGGCAAGGATGTGCATACAATTCATTGTAAATTCTCAATGCGATGTGAAATGGAAAAAGAACATTAGGTGTGTAGAACAGCACCTGCTGTGGTAACAATGAGTAGTGGAAGCAGCTAGCTTAATTTGATAATGCCATGGTCACTGTTTATGAAATAACCGGTAGACTTATTGCTGTGTGGCCAGAGGTCTAGGATCCTTGTAGACTTCAAAGCTCCTTAAACACTATAGCTTAAGAGGATGCAGTTCAAGCTGTCTGGAGTTGGCATTAGAGATAGAGTTAGTGGTGCAGGCTTTCATATTCTTAACACAGAGCAGAAGTTTGGGTATGATTATGTGGCATGGAAAGGAGGGACTGAAAGCTGTATCTAGTTCAGTCCTTCCAATGAATTAGTAGAAACTTCCTTGCGCTTTCATTTTTTGTTTGATTTTTTTTTTCTTAGATTGGACATGACTAGATTTGTGTTAATTTTTTTTTTATGTGAAACAGGTCTTGTCTTTTCTAAATGACATATTTGATATGCTTCTTAAAGCACTGTCAGATCCATCTGATCAGGTAATCATGTACATTTGATCGTTTTCCTCTCTTAAAAGTGTTGTCTATTTTTTGTACTTGCTTGATTTATAATTGTAATTATCCTATTCAGTGTTAATACTGGAATTAATAGGTCATATTGCACATATGTGTGTATCTAGAATGATATTTCCTTATTTAGATCATAATAGAGGATTGCCCATGAGATTGGCCACCATAGGCTTGTGTTTATTTCCATTCATCTTTCAATTTATTTGCTTACAGTGTCAAATGTTTTGCAATTTGTTTGTGCTCTTAATTCAGATCTAGAATGAGTGTAATTCAATTGGAAGCTCAATACAATTTCTTTTACTAGTTTTGTTGAATCAGTTAGACTAAAGTGGTTCCGTTTGCATCCTTTTTTATTAAGTTCATTTCGCATCACTGATGTTCGTGACTCTCATCTTCAACTTGCTCTGCTAGTTTGTTCAGAAATTGACCCTAAGGTTTGGAAAAGGGTGCAAAGGTGAAAACGATAGTACTTTTTAGCGGGAAAACAAATTGTCCTGCAGAAAAACTTGCAGACCTAAGACTTGGAGATCTCTTTCTGAGCCATATTTCCTTTGGGTTTAGACCATTCTTAAGTTGCGAGGGAGCATGATATCACAAATGAATCATAAGATGCTAAAAAAGTGAAATCCCACTAAACCATATGATAAAGAGTATGTAGTATATATTTACATATATATTTTGTTTCTTGTATCTTGCTATACAGCTGCAGCACATCAGTCACTAGATTATTATATTTATAACTATGGATCATACAACTCGTCAGGCCTGCCTTTGAAGTAGGACCAGTCCCCTCCCTTCTTCTGGAAACACCTTTTTATTCACCAATCGAAGAAAAAAGTACTTTAGATTTCAATCTTGTTATGGTCTACCTAATTAATGTTGTTGCTTGCATATGTGTACAGATAAAAAAATTGTCCTGTACTGGTGTTTCATATGATTAATTAGTTGCAATTCTGATTATTTCCCCAGGTGGTACTCCTTGTTCTTGAGGTTCATGCATGCATAGCGAGAGATCCACAACACTTTCGCCAACTTGTTGTGTTCTTGGTGCATAATTTTCGCATTGATCACTCTCTTCTGGAGAAGTGAGTCTATCCCTCTTGTCTTGCTGTTTTTGTTTTTCAGTTGTGGTTTTTCATATATTTAATCACGTGTCTTATTTCTTATGCGAATTATTTTGTTTTCTTAGGCGTGGTGCTTTGATAATCCGACGACTCTGTGTTCTTTTAGATGCGGAAAGGGTCTATCGCGAACTTTCTACAATATTAGAGGGGGAAGCTGACCTGGATTTTGCATCAATAATGGTTCAGGTTTGCCCATTATTTTGGAACATAAAACTGTGATGCTTGAGGGCACAAATGAAGCAATACTTTGAGGTCTTTACACACACACACACACACACACACCAAATGAAGCATCTTCATGAGTTTCTCCTATGTAAAGTTTCATTAGCATGCATAATTGGGAAGGAGTAAGGCAGGCAAAAAAATTTTGAAACTTTTTTCACATCTGTTGTTCATTTTACTTATTTACCATTTTTCATGTTTATTTTCCAGGCTTTGAATTTGATTTTACTCACATCCTCTGAATTAGCTGACCTTCGAGATCTTTTAAAACAATCTCTGGCGAATTCTGCCGGGAAAGATTTATTTGTTGCTTTGTATGCTTCGTGGTGCCATTCGCCCATGGCAATTATAAGCCTTTGTTTATTAGCACAGGTGAGTATTTAGGACTTACTCATGGCTGTCCCTTTCATGTCCAAACCATTTCTTTCTGTGAATTTTCTAGCCATATATTTTCATGCATTCATCCTTTTCAATTTTTATGATTTTAATGCAGTTGTGATCATCTTTTGTCTTTTCTTCACAGACTTACCAGCATGCCAGTACCGTGATTCAGTCGCTGGTAGAGGAAGATATCAATGTGAAGTTCTTGGTACAGCTGGATAAATTGATCCGTTTGCTGGAAACTCCCATCTTTGCTTACCTTAGATTGCAGGTGCACTAGTTAAATGCATAGTGAGCGTTTACCTTTATATTTTACCTATATTTTATTACTTTATTAGTAGGCAATAGAAGATTTACGTGGTTACATGTCCTTTGATTTCTTTTGGTCATTTGTAGATTGTTAAATATTTGGTTATTCAATGGACATCTTTGTCTGCATAGAATTTTTTTTTCAATTATTGTTGCTTATTTTTATGTAATTTAATCTGGCATGTGATGTACATCCCTTGCAAGATTGTTTTGCAAGGTCATTTGCCTAGTGTTTCTTATTATGCTGAGTGTTTCTGTCATTTTCTGATTCTTGCAGCTTCTTGAACCTGGAAGATATACATGGTTGTTAAAAGCTTTAAATGGTCTTCTGATGCTGCTCCCCCAGGTACACCTGAAGAATTATATACTGCTCCCACTAAATTTCTACAATTGTTATGTGCAAAGGCTGCAGTTTATGTATGTCTATTGGTCTGTATGCGTGAATGCATGTATATGGTTAGGAAAAATGTTACTCATAATTTTTTAATTTTTTTAGGTTTGGTTGTTCTTTTTAGGACTTCTAAAAAGGATTTGGTTTGCCTTAAATGGTGGAAGGTGGTATATAGGGTACATGTTCATTTTCTCTTCTGTCTCTAAATGTAAAGGAGAGTTTCAAACTCGCAATTAACGCTACGAATCAAGGAGTTGCAGTGATAAAACGACAAATGATTAAATGCCTTCCCAACTTTCAAGTTGTTGGTGCTGGTTCCTTAAATATTAAAAAGACAATCTAGATACTGAGTTACAAATTGATGGGAACAGCATGGCTTCCTGACTTTTATGGAATGCAAGTAGTGCTAGTGCAACTATACTTATTGGTTACTGCCACTTCTCTATGGTTTCTTATGCTTTTTTTTTTTTTTTTTTTTCCTTTGGCTTTGTGCATGCAGCAAAGTGCGGCTTTTAAGATCCTGCGAACTCGTTTAAAAACTGTACCCTCATATTCCTTCAGTGGTGATCAAGTTAAGCGAACATCTTCAGGGAACACTTACTCTCAGATCCTACATCACATTCCAAGTGGATCGCAAATTTCTGAGGATGGTGATGTAAACCAGGATGTAGGGACTTTGAATTCGCATAATGGAATTAATTTCACTTCAAGGCTGCATCAGTTTGAGCAAATGCAACGACAACATCGGGTGCATGCAAAAGCACAGGCTCAGTCTCGCAAAATTTCCACTTCATCATCAAAGGTTTGTTGAATATCTTTATCTCATTCTTGTTATTAAGTTTAATAAAACTTCTTTTGGCATTATGGTTTATGATAGGAGTAGATTTTTTAGGTGAATTAGGGTGAGCAAGAATGAGACTTGAGAGCACATTTAGGGAACTTCAATTGAGTAATTTGTGGGCGAATCATGAAGTTCCTTTTGTGCTAAGAGGTTCAGCTCAAGTGACACGTGGTTAGGTTTGAGTAGTTAGTTTTTGTTAGGGGGAAGAAATATGTAAACATTAGTAAAAGTTTAATTTCATCTAATCCTTAATCGTGTTTTATTTTCTAGTCTTCTTTTTCACTTGGAACTTCTGCCGGTGTTTTACTCTGAATTACCTGTCCTATAATTTTGTGCAGGATGTACAAAGACCAGGGGAACCCAGGCACCAAGCTCCTTTGGATAATAGTGGGCCTCCTTCAAGATCATCTAGGAAAGGCCCGGGGCAGTTACAACTTTAATAATGTTATGCACTGGAGAGGAGATCTGGTATTATAACTTGTAAAATTGTATATCGTAGTTTGTTCTGTTTTTATGGATGCTGGGATGGTAAAAAAAAAAAAAAAATGGAAGAAGAAGAAAAGAAAAGAAAGAAAAAAAAGATGGTTTTGATTTGAGATAAGCTTGGGTCTCCTGAGCTGTTCTTTTTTTTTTTTCCCTCTCTCTCTCTCTCTCTCTGGGAACGGTGTATATCCATGTGGTTCTGTTATTTTTTTATTGAAAACCACATGGGCTGGAGCAAAATATTTTAGAGAATGCAGTTTGATTTTGTCTAGTCCACAGCTTAGCTGTTATGGCCACTTATAAAATAAGGACGGCTTATTCATGTATACATCACCTCAACTTTGCCAAATGTATGCTTGTGCTATTATTTATCAATCGATTACTCTACATTCCACGTTCTGTTCTATTGTTTTATTATATTACAATAAATAAACACTTCGTCCAATTGTAGTTTATTTTTAATGTTTGCATTTCATCTCTCCGTAATGACTCTTTAACCGTTACAATATTGCAATAGTAGTTACCAGTACAGCTGAAAGTCAACTATCTCAATTCCCAAATCACTTTGCAGGGGCTATTTTGGAACTTGCATATCAGCACATCCAAAGTCGGCGTAGCAATTAAGCTGGAGAAGGCCAGTCAAAACTTCCTTGCGCACCCTTTTAAAATACAAATCCTATAACCAACCAACAAGTACTGTCTGTATCTTGGCTGGGAAAATAAGGATTAAAAACACTCGTGCAGACCACATCAAAGAGAGAATAAGTAGTCTAAGAACCCCTTTTTACATGCTCATTTTACAATATGTATCTAATCTATAAAGCATAGATCTTCTCCAGATCGGAGTTGTACTCGTCAGGATCTGATATATTTGCTGAGTACACTGACCAAGAAAACGATTTGCTTCCACTTGCCCTTTTTATGCGTCTCTGGGAGTCACGGAAAACTCCAAAATGCTGGCGGAAAACAAAGTAGCACATGCTTGCGAGTGTCCCAACAAGAATTGGTGCCCCTGTTAAGGTTATGGTTATAGCCATCCATGAACGTTTCTTTCCTACAACCACAAACGCTATAGACAGAAATGCTCCACAAGTGCAAGCACAGGCAGCCCACATCAGCTTGTTAACTACGGAGACCACCTGTTTTTGCGCCTGAGTGTCCCAGGCCACCAAAGTGATCTGAACTACCACAACAGCTAATGATATAAAGAGAGATGTTGCATTTAAGAGGCAGAACACCTGGAAACCAACATGGTCAGCTATATTAGCTTTCCCTGTTTCAGCTCCATCCTGTATGTATTGCCCAGGCAAGTTGAAGACAGCCAAGAAAGCAATCGAGGCAAAAAGAACAGCAACAACAGTGATAGAGTTGGTTGTATTCTGGACAGCTTCCCTATGGAGTTTCCTTAGTTCTTTTGCAATACCAGAAACTCTTCGGTTGGTTTTTTCATTTTGTATAAGTTGTGAATGCACCTCATGCTTGATATCACTAACTGTCCTCTTAAGTTCCATCGCTTCATCCATTTGACCAACATGCCTAGCATGCTTGGCACCAGCGTCTACGAGAGCTTCCTTGATTTCCAAGGCAGATACTCCATATTGGAGTTTATCTGCCAAATCCATCGCAGTTTCATGCTGATGATTGATGATGTTGACATCAATAGATGTATAGCTCAGCAAAAGGCTTATTATCTGAGAAACAGAAAACACAGTACAAGTATGATGTGGCTGGAAGGAGAAATGAGAGGAGAAAACCCCTTAAAACAGTAACATCAATGCTGTATAAAATGATCCAGGGAGATATTATTACTATATTAGTAAGCTCTACCCCATGAATCAACGCATCAAGTTTGGTCATTACATGATAAATCTGAGATGAGAATTAATGGAGATGAGTTGAACGGAAAACAAGAATGATGCATTCCATCTTTAATTAGCAATTTATAGATAAAGTACCTGGGGACGAGATTTCCTTGTGGCTATATGCACTGCCGTGTTACCCTTCTTGTCACGCTCATTTAGTATTGAGTGATCAGCAAGTAATATCTCCTCCACTACGGAAGTGCTCTGACCCTTTACAGCCATATGGAGTGCAGTTTGGCCTTTCTTATCTTTGATGCAGACAATTCCAGGATCACGGTCTATGAGCACTTTCACTATATCAAGAAGGCCATACCTGGCAGCTGTGTGCAAAGCAGTTTTCCCATTTTTACGCACTATCCTCATTGAGCTCAAATCAGCATCCAGTATGGCACGCACCACATCCAAGTGGTTTTTAACAGCAGCTGAATAAAGGGGGCTAGTAATGGAAGAGTCACATAACTTGCAAAGCTCTGGCCACATGGCCAAAAGTTCCTTCACAATGCCTAAAACCAATATTCAATACCATAAAGAGTTAAACAACTTGCCATCAACCAATAAGATTATAGTGGACACATTCAATATAGCTATCCTATATTAACGAAGCTCAATCTTCAAGAACATAATATCCTCAGCCTCAACGATTATGCAAAGCAACTGTGCTATTTGACCATGGCCAGTTTCAATCGGCGGTGATCTATATAACTTTCAAAGAAAAATGTGCCCAATCAAGGAAACAAACCATAACCTAGACCTTCCATTGCATAGAAGTAACACAATTGTCGTGCATTTTAAAATAATAAATATCACTATGCTGTTTGAAATTGAAGCCATAGACTTCCAATCACACAGATACAGTGGACATCAGAGGTAATCTAAAAAAAAAAAAAAAAAAAGAAGCCTTTTACAAAAACTTCACAAATCAAAGTCTAGAACAAAATTATATTGTAGTTAATCTAATTGTGAACATATCGCAAACAAGATGGCAGTAATTAAGCATATAACTAACCAACAAGGACAAAAAACAGAACCCAACAAGCAGTTTCAAAGGAAAAAAAGAAAAAAGAAAGAAAAGAAACATACCCAAGTGACCCTTCTTAGAAGCAAGATGGAAGGCATCCAAATCGGACTTAGACCTGACCTTAACAGTTTCAAAATCACAAAGCTTTATCAAATAACTAAAAAGATCTTCCAGATTACGATCAGCAGCTATATACAAAGCAGTCTCTCCTGCATCAGTCTGCAAAGACATTAGATCAGACACATCAGATGGCTGAGACCCCACTATCTGTTTCAAAGAGTCAAGGTCGCCTGATCGGACGGCTGTGAAGAATGCTTGGTGGGCTAGGAAGCGTAGTGATGACTTTGAAGGCTCCATCATCGTCATCGTCATCGTCATAATAATATTAGTACTAACTTAATTGATATCCATAACCTCAGGGTTTGTTTCTTCAACAGAGAGAAACAAGCAGCTATGAACCAACGAGTGTGAAGCTATAATTCAATTCTCTTTTTAAAAAGTTTTATCTTTTTGAGGTTTCTTTTCTTCTTCTTCTTCTTCTTGTTGAGGAATAGAGAGAGAGATAGAGAGAGGACCAGGTATAAAGTATAGTGTGGTAGTGGAGGCTCGACTTCTTCCGAGTGATAGACGCTGTTCACATGATTGATTGGGGTCACAAACGTCTGACTTTTGCTAAGTAAGAGATAATTGAGGGAATTATTTATTCAGTCCTTCTATTTGGAATATTATCATATATTAGTCCCTTGTAGTTCAAAAACTACCAACTTGAGCCCTTGACTTTTGTTGATCTTTAACTTATTAAAACATTCGTTGTTTTTTCCTTCATTCTAAGTATACCCTTCACAGTTTAAATTCTTAATGTAAGAAGGAACTGAGTTATAAGTTTTCAAACATTAAAAACCATGTAATGATTATGTTTAAAACTAGGGACTAGAAAATAATTTACTTAATAAAATTTTGGGTAGGTACAAAACTGTTGATTATCATATAATTGAAGGATATGCAGCCTTTTATATGTATATATGCAGCCTTTTATATATGTATATAAACCGTTGATTTTCAATCCGTGATGTTCTAACTAAAGTATAGCTACAGATAAAAGCTAAACTATAGGAGAAAATGTAGTACTAGATAAAATCTATCCTTATCGGAGCCCTCATCTACTCGAACAAGGACGCAGAGCAATAATTCAAGCAGTTCTTCTATCTTTGTGGATATCGATCAACTAGCATTGTGCAAGTTCGAGCAGACAGCCTGCACTTTTTAAAGGATTAGTGCCCAAAATTACAACTTATTATTATATTCCTCATCTGGCATATATATATTTCCTTATTAATTAGTGTTAATTAATAAATTGTACGAAAATAATTAAGGATTATTAATTATAATTATTTTGATTAATGTCAGGCCAACATGATCATGATCCAATCATATACATTAATTTTCCAATCATATGCATGCATCATGCATAATTAATGGTTGACTTATTTCTAAACGAAAGATTTAAAATCGCGTGTGGATATTCATTAACTGGGCTAATTGAGGACAAAATGATATGAAGGAGTATTTAAATAGAAATCGATTAAGAAAGTACTTAGTTTTGTGAAACCCTCGAAAATATCTTATTACTATATATCAAGATAAACGAAAGATGCATGCGTTTGTTATAATGTGATGGCGGTAATAAAGTCTTCAATCGCAAGCAGCCGTATGATTTTCAAATGAGAAGGAACTCTTACGGTATGTCTCAAAGACCAGACGAGTATGGAAAAAAGAAGAAGAGAAACAGTACTAATTACTATTATTTACCAATCAAAATTGACTTCAAGGCCCAATTATAACTGAAATTTCTGAAACAAGCTTTAGCATATATCTGCATGCATTCTAGTGACATTGATTACTATTTACACATGATAAGTAATATCGCAGCAGGATGTCAAAAAATGGATCCAAGTTTCTACAATGAGAAACAATTACAAAAAACAAAATTAGGACTAATTTCTGTTCTTTAAAGAAATTGTAATCTATCTTTCAGGCTCAAATATCACAATCACAGCACAACGATGTTTCTCCTGGGTTTGAGCATGGCTTTATTCAGCTTTTCTTCCAATATATATATATATATATATGCTGTAGCAAAAAGAATTTACAATACCGTTAGTTTGAGTAGGGTTGTCAAGATTTTTCAGAGACAATAAGTCAATATTGAACAATAGGAAGAGAGATCAAGAACTAACCTTCTCATCCATGTCCTCCAAATTTGTCTCCATAAATCTTTCCTTGTAGATGGTTTATGTTTACCACAATCATCACTAGAAACTTGTTGTAAATTTTTTCAACTAATTGAAAAAATGCATCCCTCCAGGAATCCTTGAAATATAGCGTGCTAGAAACTCCTACGAATCCAGTCATAAAGCCCACTCCCAAGCCACTATAAAACCAAAGAATTTCGAACTCATCATCTGGCCTCCCCTCACCAGGCTCCCAAGATTCAGGAGGCACTTCTTCTTGGCAGTCGTCTAGTGGAAACCCGCAAAGCCCATTGTTCCCAGCGTAGATGGATTTGTCATCTAAAGTTTGGAGTTGATTTCCTGACGGAATGCGGCCAGAAAAGTTGTTGAATGACAAGTTCAGGAGACTTAGGAAATTCAACTGAGAAATGCTTGCAGGAATGAAGCCAGAAAGTTCGTTTCTAGACAAATCAAGCGATTGCAACTGTCTCAAATTTCCAATCCTCCAAGGAATTTGCCCCTTAAAATTGTTCCCAAATAAATTCAGATTCTGTAGCTCCAACAGATTCATAAGCTCATTTGGAATCTCTCCAACAAACCTGTTTCTTGAAAGATCAATGGAAAAGAGAAATGGAAGTGTCTTAGTGTATTTCAGCTCCATTCCCTTCATATAAACCAAAAGTTTCTCCTCATATACCACAGATTGAAACCCAAAAATATCAGCAAATATCGTAGGACCATAGGGCCATTGCTCTTTCGTTGCCCTCTCATTTGCAACCATTCCAGTGAAATTGTGAAAGCAAGAAGGAATAGTCCCAGTCATCTCATTGTGTGCCAAGCTCAAAATGCGAAGAGAATTGAGGTGGCAAAGTTCCTGAGGAATCTCACCTTGAAATCTATTGGAATGGACATCAAGCACTGACAATGAAGATAGTCCTTCACCTATCCATGGAGGAATAGTACCATTTAACAAATTATCACTGAGATCAAGGATGTACAAATTTTTTAGCTTCTCTAACGATACCGGTACTTTTCCTTGCAAAGAATTGTTTTGCAGGTGCAAAGATCGAAGTTGTCGTAGAGAACCCAGAGAACTTGGAATCTGATCATCCAGAATGTTACTAGACAGATCCATCACACGTAGACTCTGCAACTTCTTCCAGCAATTAGGAATTCTTCCTGACAATTGATTGTTTGAGAGATCAAGAAATCGTGACTCCTGCATCTTGCATAAAGAAACTGGAATGATCCCATCTAGGGAATTGTTTGATAGATGTAACAAGGTCAATCGTGGCATTATGTTGCCAATATCTTGAGGGATATGGCCTTGAAGGAAGTTGTTAGAGACGTCTAATTCAATCACATCTGACGGGAAAGGAGTTAAAGGACCCTCGAACTTGTTGGAATCCAAGTATACGAATCTGTAAGAAGCATCAACAGATTTTCTCAACTTTGGCAAGTTTTTTCTAATTTGATTAACAGACAAGTCCAATAATACAATATTGGAGGAAATGCTTTCAAACCAATCTGGAATGCTATCCGAGATGCTAGTGTTAGACATTTCTAAAACTGACAAATTTTTCTGTGTTCGGAGCCATTGTGGAAATTTGGGTCCAACTTTGCAAGAAAACAATGCAAGCTTTTGAATTTGGAAAGGAGGTACCCAGGTGGGACGAAGATCAAGAATTATGGAGTTCACATACATATACAAGGTAGTCAAGGAGGAGAGTTTTGAAAAGTGACGTTCAGAAACTATGCCACTCAATGAATTGTTATGGATATTCAAAAACTCAAGATTGGAAAGCTGCCCGACACTTTCTGGAACACTACCATTCAGGTAATTATGGGATAGGTCTAATCTTTCCAAACATGATAGCCTTCCAATTGATTCTGGGATTGGACCTGAAAGGGCGTTTGAATAAAGATTGAGGTTTACTAGATGCTTATAGTTTCCTAAACTATCCGGAAGACTACCACTGAGATGATTAGTTTCTAGAACCAAACTCTTTAAACTATTGTGCAAGCAACTAGTTGGACTGCCAAAAGTTCGATAAATCTCACCACTAAATTTGTTATGAGCCAAGTCAAGCTCACGCAAATTGCAGAGATTCCTCAAGGTTTTGGGTATCTCACCCTCCAGTTCATTGTGAGAAAGGTCAAGGACTGCAAGTAGATCACAGTTACCTACGTCACTTGAAATGGAGCCTTTAAAATCGTTCTCCTTTAGATCAAGATGTTGAATGCTGCTAATACTAAATAGCCATTGGGGGATAGAGGAATTGAAGTAGTTGGTGCTGAGATCAAGAACAGAAAGAGATGTAAAATTAGTTTGCAAAAAGAGAGGAATGTAAGGAAGGGAACAAGAGGATAAGTGCAATTCAACTAGAGAAGGAAGCATGTTTATTGACTCTAACCAGTCCATGGCCTTTGTAAGTTTCAACCCTGATAGGTCCAAGTGTTTCAAAGAAGGAAGAGTGGATGCCCACTGAAGTTTATCAACTTTCAAGCCATAGTTCCAACTAAGATCAAGATACTGCAAGTTCGAAAGATTTCCAAGATGATGGGAAACCTGTCCCTTGAAAGATGAACGAGAAAGGTTTAGATATTTCAGATTTTTCAGAGAACGTAGAAAAGATGGAATTTCAGCACCTTGGAAATTGTTCAGGCTCAGGTCTAGATAAGTGAGACGTGTCAAGTTAAGAAGAGAATTGTTTATCTCACCTCGCAAGCTAGTTTTGTTTGCAAATGAAACCGGCCGATTTCGTAGATCAAGCTTTACAACATGGCCAATTCTGTTGCTGCAGCTTACTCCCTTCCATGTGCAACAGTCTTCGCCAACCCAAGAAAGCAACTGGCTTGAATCATCTGCGAGGCCTTGCTTGAACTTGAGAAGTGCATCTCTCTCACTCTTGATACAGCTTACGTTTGAATCAGCTCCAATTCCATTGAATACAATACTCACAGTCAAAAGAAACACCTTAAAAACAGTAGCAAGCGTTTCCATGCTTGCCCAATTCAAGAAAACTGGGTAAAGAGATTTTGAGAATATTTTGCTTCTGTATGCAAAAACTGATTGCATAACTTGATGAATAATAGGCTGTCTCCTTATCTCTCTCTATGTAAAATTCCTGTCTTCGATCCTTGACTCAATGGACAGGTAGTAGACAACTTGTATTGTGCAAGGTCAATTCATTAATAGGAACTGACATCAGTTTTCCAAAAACGCGTGGATTTTTGTATCAATTTTATCCGAAACCACTTAGAAAGACATATATTAATGGCTAATACACGGCACAGAACTAAGACTCGTAATATTCAAGTCTAACATTTATTAATGCAAAATTTCAAAATTAATGGTGTGCAATCTAATATCATAGACTATGTTCTAATTTGAAAAGAGTCAAATCCAAATAATACAGACTCCAGTTAGGTTTGCGTTCAATGCAAGTTGCCAAGCTTGTTCTGTTGTGATGACTTGCCAGTATTTCCTTCGCCTTGTTGTATATCCGCATTATTGTCACGGAGAAACTCCCATTTAGATTTGGACTTTTGCTGCACCGACAGTTCAAAGTTCAGAGCGAGTCCTGGCAATTGGCTCCTTCCAAGATATTGTGCAAACATGGACTAGATTCTCCACCTAACGGCCCCTCCAACAACCCCTCCACCAACCAAAACCAACACCAACCCCGCCCCCCCCCCCCCCCCCCCCCAACCAAAAAAAAAATTCATGTAATTAGGAATGGTAATGAAATCATATTTGGTCTATTAATTTAATTTTTTACCATATTTATATTCATTAAAAAATCAAATTATAAATCGTTACCCAATCTATACCTAACTCACACAAGTTTACTTATTCATTCAGTACTCATTAAAAATAATTTGTCAAAATATTTTGTTTGTCTCTGTAATTTTTAAAAAGTTTTTTCTAGTTCTTAAAATTAATTTTTTAAAAAAATTTAATTCTTTATTTATAAGTTTTTTGTCCTCAAAATTTTCAAAGAAAACATTTTGGTCCTTAATTTTTAAATTTTATGCAATTGGATTTTTACATGTTAAGAAAAAATAAAAATAAATCACTAGGTATTAGTAAGGTAAGGAGTGAGCATCCATATTCTGAAACCATATTAACATTTATGTATTTTTTTTAGTTTTATCTATCTTAATTCCTATTAAATATTTTTAATGCATATTTATTAGATTGGATAGAGCAAGTAACCTCTAGTTGGCCCATTGCCATCGCTACATGCAATGGGATTCTATGTTTTGGCCACTAACAATCCCTTTATGCTTTGATTTGTGTATTCAAACAAACTTTGATCGTCGAAATATGAGAAAACAATTCCATTAAAATTTCTTAGGAATTCTTTTTTTCCAACCTCATATTCACTTATTCATCGTAAATATTGATTAATCCGTAAATATTATGGGATTGAGTTCGTCCTCATATGTGGTCAAACATCCATATTAAATAAGAAAAAAAAAAAACCGAAAAAAGAAAGGAAAAAACAAGTAATGTAAGTAACATATAAAAGTCACTTTTGACTTTGCCAAAGACATAAAAATAAGACGACAACAATAAGGCAAGATAGCAACGGTAGGGAGCAATAAAGAAAGGAGAAAAGAGAGTTTTGGTGCTCTCTCTTCATCTTTGAACAATGTTGATCTTTGAAAAACTCTAACCTTTAAATATTTTTTAGAAACCTATTTGGTGAGATCTAGTCCTTTTTTTCTTTGTTGTTATTATTAGAATGCATCTTTTTTATGATGATTTTAATGTTTTGATGTGTATCTTCTAATTGAGTCTAGAGAATAATTGTGTATTTCATTATTTGATATAGTGAAAGGGTTTGAGTAAACTACGATCCCGTGGTTTTTTCTCCATGCCGTGGTTCTATATAAAATATTAGTGTGTTGATCTGCGCTTGTGTTTATTTATTTTGCATTAATTAATATGGATTGATTTATCCTAATTTTAATTGTACAAAGAAAAAAAAAGAATTAAGACTTGTAGTTTGTGATTTTAGTTCATACATGTGCCTTTTTCCAACGAGAGAGGTATCAAAGCTTTAGATTGTGTAGTGGTTTTTTTTTTCCGTATACACTTGAAAAAAAAAAGATTCAAGAATGATAAAGCTCACTTCTTTTAATTATTTTCTATGAAAAAATATTGATAAAGGATCACCTTTAATACAATGATTTGGTTTTACTACTTAAGTGCAAAGAAAAGAAGCTCGTTAATATGGAAGAGACAAAATAAAAGTCGGTTAGGGGAAAGGTTACAACTACTATCGGAAAATGGGTATCTTCTAAATCTATCAATTAGTTTTCTCAACCACATGACTCGTCATAAAATTTGAAAGTTGTTGAAAGAAATCTTTTCTAAGAAGAATGCACAAAACAAGGCTTTCTTGATCAAAGACCTTGAAAACTTGAAGTACAAAGATGGTTAAGATTTTTGGTGCACTTAAATGATTTTCAAATATTCCTCAATCAGTTGTCATTGATGAACCTTGAGTTATTTGACAAGATACAAGCACTAATCCTATTGAGTTCATTATCGGATAGTTAGAATTTCATGGTGTCATTTAGCAACTCCACTCTAAATGGAAAGCTCACTTTATATATAATGAAGGACGTTATTCTTAATAAAGAAAAAAAGAGGAAAGATTCAAGGACTTTAGAGTCCTATGTACTTATAATAAATTGAGGAAGAAGTCAAAGTAGGTTTTTGTTGTGGTAATAAGGATAGAGTATCTAATTATAGAAGAGATAGATCAAAGTCTAGAAGAAGATCTCAATCAAGAAAGGAAATAAAATGTCATTATTATTATAGAACTAAACATATTCAAATGGATAGTAAAAAGTACAATAGAGATTAGAAAGGTAAACCCAAATATAAGAATAAAGAGAATGATATATCTTTAATTGTTTACGATGTTGATGTTGCTATTATTTATGATAATGGTTGTGTAAATCTTACTAGTTAAGATATCATTTAAGTTACGGATTCAGCTACTTTTAACCATATTACATCCCAACAGGATTTCTTCACATCCTGCGCTAATGAAAACTTTAGTCAAGTTAAGATGGAAAATCAAGAAATTGTTAGTGTTGTGGGTATTGGAGATATTTGGTTAGAAACCAATATCGAGTGCAAATTGATGTTAAGGATGATAGGAATGTGTCGGATATGCACATACACTTGATCTCTATAGATAAACTTGATGAAGAAAGTTATCATAATTTTTTTAAAGAGGTAAATAGAAACTCTTCAAATATTCTTTAATTGTTGCTAAAGATAAAAATATAGATTTCTACCGTCACAAGCCAAAGGGATTAAAGAGAAGGTGATTGTAATTAAAGGTTCCTTAATCAATTTATGGCATAGACGACTTCGCACTTGAGTGAGAAAGACCTTTGTATCATTTCTAAGAAGAACCTCTTTCATTTAAAAATTATGAACTTAAACACTTCCACTTATTGTTAAGCTAATACACAACATAAAATGACATTTCATAGATCACATCTACGTAAAAGATCTCAAATTCTTGACTTAGCTCGGACTAGTGTTTGTTCATGTTAGAAAAAATAAAGGAATTTGGGTCGGGTTGCCCATGACGAGTCGACCCGATAAGAAAATAATAACTCGTCAAAACAGCTTATAAGGGAAATGTTGTTTCTCTTTGAACTCCTATATATATATGCATCTCTCGGAAAAGAAAAAGAAAAGAGAGACGGATAAGAGAGAATAGAAAAAAAGACAGTAATACAAAACTCCCTACGAGATAAAATACTAAAACAAGAAGGATTGTCTTGGCACTTGGATTTTGAAAATAAAGACGAGTGATTGAATATTAATGTTTTGATCTAGTGAAACTATTTACGGGTAAGTGTTTCGATCCTAATTATTCTCTATTTTTGAAGTATTTATCGTGATCTTTATTTATATCGAGCCTAATTTAATAGCTTTCATGATTATCCATAGAATGTTATTAATATATTAATGTTTTGATATTTGTTATTACATAATAAATTCTTAAATATTGTTAAATTATCCAATATTCTGATATTTATTATTAATATATCAATGTTTTGATATTTTATTGTTATCTGCATGATATTCATCTAAATCCATGTAACAAACAAAACAAAAAATATATATATGCATGTCAGTGAGACACGGCACAGAGAAAGGCTTATGGGTGATACACGGCACAAGACAGTTCTTTGTTAACTGTCATTCACAAACCGAAAAAAAAATTCTATTTAAATTGTCAAAAGTGGGACTTGAACCCACATCCGTTTGGATGTAAAAGTCTTATCTGATGCCTTAGACCACTGTGTCATGCTAACCTATTGGGATATTTGGGTAAGAAAATATATGACCATTTCAAATGCATACGTAAATTTTTTTCAAAAACAAATTGTTGGGAGTGAAATTCGAACTCACACCGTATAGGTTTAAAAGCTTAATCTGTCACCTCAAACCAACTCTACCCACGCACCCTGTTGGTTGTGACTTGTTGATAAATTAGTATTACTCCAAAATATTTCGTTAGGACTGTTGATGAATTATTATTTTTTTATGTATAATCTCATAAACAATTTACGTATAGCAATTTGAGTTATGTATTTATATATTTTCATTTTCATTTGGAATTTATATATATATACATATGTTATTTATGAAGTATTATATTTTTTTCATATTTATTTTTGCTTCATAAATGTTTAGTGAAAATTATGAGATAAATTCAAATGGTGTAATTTTTTTTTTTAAATTAAGTTATTAAAATCAAAACATTTGAGTATGGATGATGATAGGGAATATAGTAAACTGTCGATTCTGTATCTTATCTTAGATTTTAATAGTTAATTCAAGAAATTAGTGAAACATACATACAAAGATATTGATATTGCATGTAATGTCTTTTTACGGTAATTAATTGTCAAAATGGCAACAAAGAATGTCATTGCTGACTTGAATAAGGGTGAAAAGCT